ATGATATAAGTAATAGTACTAGTGATGATATTAGTATTAATGAATAATAGTGATATAATAATAATAATAACAATAACAAAATAATAATGAAATAATAATAATAATAATAAATAATAATATATAATAATAAAATAATAATAATAATAATAATAATAATAATAATAATAATGGTAATAATAAAATAATAAATAATAATAATAATAATAATAATAATAATAATAATAATAATAATAATTACAATAATAATAATATTAATGATGATACGAGTAATAATTATCATTAAAATAATTGTAAATAATAACAATGATAGTATTAATAGTAAACGATAAAACTAACAAGAATAACAATAATGATAATAGTTGATAAAATGAAAATCATAATAATATAATAATGACAATGATAATAACACCATCATCATAATGATTATCATCATAGTTATTATTTTATTGTTATTTATAATAATAATAAATAATTATAATAATAATAAAATAATAATAATAAATAATAAATAATAATAAAATAATAAATAATAATAATAATATAATAATAATAATAAACAATAATAATAATATAATATAATAATAATAATAAATATATTATTATTATTTATTATTATTATTATTATCATTGTTATTGTTATTATCATCATTGTTATCATTATTGTTGCTTTTGTTATTATTACACTCTGCATAAGGTAATCAAATTGGAATACCTGGAATATTTCTATCAATAATCATTAACCTTCTGCATGAACAATGTAAACAATATATATGCCAGATGAACGATAGTATTCTTGTGGGTGCGTTCCAACTTGGAAAAGGATGTTTTACAAAGTCATTGTAAAATCCATGAAGCTTGGGGTGAGGTGAAGGAATCGGCAATTGTAGTGGAAGTGTGTGTCAATTATAGATTTGGGCTTATTCATAGTAAAATAGATAATTCGGGTAGCGTAAACAATGTAGCCATTAAATTTCTGCACAAGTGCATGTAGATATGTAGGTATATAGATGTTCATAAATACTCAGATAAGCACATATATATAAATCTATAGTATTATATATATTCTGTTTATTTTTTGCAGATAACTATTGATACTGACTTAATAAAGATAATTGAAGTATAAGAATATGACACTCAAGTACGATACCATCAACAAGACCGGCGAGAGTGCCTGGCATTGGGCATCCGCTGAAAAATACTTTTTACGGGCATTGGGAAGCATTTAAACCTTTGTGATGTTGAACACTAAAATGACTGATATTGAATGGAATGTTGAGAATGAGATCCAACTGTTTTATGCCATGATGGGCCACAAGCCAGTAGGTTAGTATATGATGTTTCATGTGGTTTCATTTTTCGTTTGTTTTGTTTTGTTTTTGTAAGCATGGAGCATGAAGTATTTGAAGACAGCTGGGATTACAATATCTGTTTAAATGTACATTCTGAAATCTCTTGGGAATGGTAGTATATGTGAATCATATCCAGGAATGTCCCCAAATGCCCCCTTTTTTTTTTTTTTTTTCATGATAAGTACTGAAAAAATACAATCTGGTGTCTTGTATTTTATTTTCAATTAGGCAGAGGATATAGTGCCATGAACCGGCAACATTCAGGAATCACATAATCTGCTGTGAAGTGCTCTGATTGGCCAATAGCCGTGACATCATATACAGGGGGCACCTCATGTAGTTATTGGTCATTGCTGTTAGACTGCATATTTTGCCATTTTTTAAACATAAAAACATCAGTTATTTAATTATCTACTTGACCTTACCTGGGTATAAGTTACCTAAGCGACCCGCGTTAATAGAGAGAAATGGACAGCACCATCTTATAGATCGAAAAAATAGAATAGGATGCAACATAGGTTAATCTGCAGACAAAAATATACCTTGCATATTGCCATTCAGATTCCAAGTTGATCTTGTTTACATTGAAAGGAATAATACAATACTGACATTTAACTCATTACTAAATATCCAAAGTATGTTACTATGCTCTTGTCAAAACGATATTTAGCTAATTATCAGTGTCCGCTGTTATACATTTATACTTTTAAAGTCTTGTATTACTGTTATTACACTTCATTTACATGCTTTAAAGATTATCTATACACTTATTTAAAATCATCTGTGGCATCGTGCATTTCACACTTTCATTCGCCAGTTGCCAGGTTTGACAGTTCTGAGCTGGACATTTCATGGCAGAACGCTGGTGAGAATGTTGTTTCCAGTTTTTGTGTTGATTCTGGTTATTCTTAAGGGGACTGTCCTGAGAGAGAGGGGGGAAGGGGGTTAAATTGAGATAGTTAGCGTATAGTATAGGTACATGGATGAGGAAACTACCAAACGAGTATTAACCGCCTGCTATGGCTCGTTGTCTTGCAGCCGGCGCGCGAGTCCCTCAGCACCCGGAGAGGTACGTCGCTAATGAGCCCCAGGTACACCTATGTGGACTTTTGCTTGCGGCAATCGTGCATAAGGCATTTAATTATGACATTGCGCATAGATATGAGTTCGTGAATGTTCAAGGAACACTTTTATACCAATATCAGGAAAAAATTATATCACCGTGATTTATGACGAAATATTTTGTGAAATATATCTAAAAAAAAATGTATGTTTTGTGTCCTTTTACACACGAAATATGCTTTGATCGAGACTCCCTGGTAATATGTTTTAGTTTACGAGGTAATATATACGTATATCACATACGAAGCACTAATGTTTAAAAATAGCCTTATAAGGAAGGATTGAAATATTTCCGTTACATTTCGCTCAACGGTCGGTACATCACAGCAGGGGGCAATTTGAATTGATTTGAAATTGGTAGTTACCGTTGTAAAGACCAATTCAATACGAATGTTACCTAAATGTCGGATTTTTAAACTTCGGATGTATAAGCGAGATACAGATTATTTCATGTTGAAGATGATAGTACTCAGTAATACCTGCTCTGAAATAAAAACTATATGGAATTTTGAGCTCGGTTGTATGCGTAGTCTTCGTCTGGCGTTCAAAAAGCTATCGCATCCGTTTCGTGCGTTCCCGATAAAAATGAATATGTTTAGACGTTACCGTAAGTCTTAGGCACCATAAATTGGCAAATATCCCACAACACCTAGGCGTCTGCATGATTTTATGCACTTCTTAGTAAAGATAATGGGTGCAAATGGCTAATCATAAACTTTACACTTGTTCTCCTTTGCAATCTGTTAATATTGACAATTATCAAAGAAAATGGGTATGAGAGGGATAACTAATATATTTTATTATTTAGATATGAAAGTCAATGTAGGCCTACTAAATGATGATGATTAATCTTTTTAACTTTATGTGCGTGCGTTCACGTACATATGATCCTCCTCGAAAATTATAAACACCCAGTGACCATCTCCCCCTCCCCCCCCCTGTGTGAGGCATGGGGAATATTCAACGACTTTCGTAAGTTCTCGAATTCAATGTACTAAATTCATATGCTTTTGAAATTCTCAAAATTGAACCACCATGTTGTATTCATGCCAGGACTTTATAATTAGAATGATTTTGTACTAATATTGCCATCCACAGTTCCCCATTTCTTCAAAAATAAAAAAAAAATAAAAAAAAAATGGAAAATAAAAAAAATATTTTTTTTAAAAAAGGTTTTTATCTGGTTTAGATTAGTTGTCTCTATGGTAAAATGCATTTATTAAGCTTTTCACACGAAAATATCAACTTTAATGAACAACGAAAAAAAAAAAAAAAAAAAGTGACATACCTTTACAGAATAGCGTCCCTATTGAACATGAAAATTCCTATTGACTTGGTAATCATTGCATTGCAAAGTACACTAAATAAGCGTTTTTTTGATATATAATATCATTAGATTCAGAGAAAAATAACAGAGATAACGAACTTTGGCAAGGTGCCAAATACAAAACGCCGTAGCTCGGCTATTTTTTTATGATCTTCGGTACTTCCCAACTCACGTAATTTTCATGCGATCCAAATGCAGTTTGTTGCTTTCACTAGAGCCTCGGCGTCCCATAGCCATGTAAAAGGCCGATTTTTGAATTTTTGCCTTAATCAAAAATAATAATATTTTAATGCTGAAAAACGCATTCAAAAATAGTTCTCTATGTCAAGCTGTCCCCCGCCAAAAAAAAAAGGAAATTCAAAATTCGGCCTTTTACATGGCTATAGGCTAGAGTTGATCTAACACTAGCATTTTTGGGGGAATATTCTGTAAAGAGCTCTGATAGTTGGGATGTACCGAAGACATACCAAAAAAAATAGCGATTTTTTTCAACTTTTTGGGGGGTGCCCCCCCCCAATGGGGAGCAAAGTTAAAATTTATATATATAACGAGCGCAATTCTTTACTCTATAGCATGCAAAAAGAATCAATCAGTTATCTCTAACCGATATTTTTTTATGATGTATAGAGTAGGGAAAGGTGGCCATTTTCCGGGACGGTCCCCTAACGGACACGAACAAAGGAGAGGTGTCAGGCGGGATCCTAATAATGAGAGGGTCTGTAATGTATATGTTTACGACTCTTTCTCGAGGAGGCTGAGCGGTCGACAGAGAGACCGGGTAAAAATCTCGTTTCTTTTCGTATGTCAAATGGGTGTTTGCGCGATGGGCGTTTTCTATGACTAGTGAATGATATTATGGGAGTTGATGACCAGCTGCAATCTGGCTGCGCAGACCAGGTGCTTTGGTGGGTGAATGGCCGCATCGTTTCTCTGAGATTGTCAAGTGTTGTGGATTTGTATGAATATCTTTCGTCTTTTTTAATAGTCTTAACCCCCTTTTCGGATCCTTAAGTGTTCTTATAAAGGCTATAGTCCCATGCGCTGATGGTTTTAGTGTTTTTATATAAATAATTTCATTGCACGCAAAAGTCAAAAGGAATAGGATAACGTATCTAATACAAATACTTAAAAAAATAAAAAACAATAAGATAACGTACCTAATAAAAATAAATATTAATAAAAATAGGATATAATAATACATCTCATTCCTGAGGTATTAATTTTTATTCGATATTCAGCAGAAATACAGAACGGGAATGGAAAGAGATACAATTTTCCTATTTTCAGGATTCCTTCTGCAGCGCCAGTTCCTCCCTCACTAGTCGAGCCAAGTTCCTCATCCCCTTTGGAGTAAACAACAAGAAAATTAGAAAACTCGGGAATTAAAGACATGAAACATGATACCATAATATTCATACAGATAGGAAGATAAGAAACCCGATTTCCAATGATGTGAAGATAAGGGAAACTCTAATATTTGAGTGGATAGGAAAGATAAGAAACCAGAATATTTACAATATGTGAAAAACTCCCATATTTGAGCTGATAAGGTAAGATACTGAACTGATATGCAAATGAGACACTTAAACGTTTATACTGATAGGAAGATATGGAACTAATATTTATTCTGATATATCGAATAGTTCTAAGAAGTGGAAATTGGTATTAACAAAACATTAATCTATATTATATATGAATAACTTCAATAAGCAAACTTTTGTCATCATCTAAGAACAATAGTAATAATAATTCTGATGATGGCAATAATATTGATAATGATAATTATAAAAATAATAATAACACCAGCGTTAATAATATCGAAACACACATTACATAAACTCTCTTGGGAAACAGGTCACGGACATGTTTTTCCGCCCGTACGAACAATAAAATATATCCTCCATTCCTCGTTACCATATACTTCAACCTTATTAAAATACGGTCCCCTCGCCAACCTCCAAACAACCCCGTAAGTATAAATCAATAAAAACTGATATCCACGATAAACCAATAATACACATACAACACACACCACACACACACAACACACACACACACACACACACACACACACACACACACACCACACACACACAACCACACACACACACACACACACACACCACACACACACACACACACACACACACGTACTCATACTCACACTCAAAACACATTCTCTCTCTCTCTCTCACCCTTCCCTTCCTTCCTTCCTTCTTCTTTCTTTCTTTCTTTCTTTCTTTCTTTCTTTCTTTCTTTCTTTCTTTCTTTCTTTCTTTCTTTCTTTTCTTTCTTTCTTCTTTCTTTCTTTCTTCCTTCCTTCCTTCTTTCCTCCTTCTTTCCTCCTTCTTCCTCCTCCCCTCCTCCCCCTCCCTCTCCCTCCCTCCCTCCCTCCCCCTCCCTCCCTCCCCCTCCTCCCTCCCCCTCCCTCCTCCCTCCCTCCCTCCCCCTCCCTCCTTCCCTCCCTTCCTTCCCTCCTTCCTCCCTCCCTCCCTCCCTCCTTAGCCACCCCCACCCACCCAATTCCTCCTCCCCCCCCACCCACCCAATTCCCCTCCCTCCCCCATCCACACCCACCCAATCCTTTCCCACCCTCCACCCACCCATCCAATTCCCCCACCCACCCTCCCAACCCAATCCTTTTACCCCTACCCACCCACCACCCACCCACCCAATCCAATTCCCCCACCACCCTCCCAAACCCAATCCTTTACCCCTACCCACCCACCCACCCACCCACCCACCTCCATCATCTGCTCGGGCGTGGCGCAGGAGTAGGCCGCCCTCATGTACTGACAGGGTTTCTTCTCCTCGACCATGAAGTCTCTCCCAGGGACGAGCACCACGTCCCTGGTGACCGCCCTCTCCAGCAGCATGGGCGTCGTGTCGCGGAGGCCGGGCACCTGGGAGGGGGTATGTTGCGTGTGTGGGGAGGAAGGGCATTGTGAGGGGGGGGTGAGAGGGAAGGGTGTTGGGAGGGAGGGAGGGAAGAGTGAGGGAAGGAAAAGAGAGAGAGAGGGAAGAAGAGAGATGAGAGAGAGAGAGAGAGAGAGAGAGAGAGAGAGAGAGAGAGAGAGAGAGAGAGAGAGAAGAGAGAGAGAGAGAGAGAGAGAGCGAGAGAGAGGAGAAAGAAGAGAAGGGGGGGGGAAAAATGGAGAGGGACGGAGGGAGAGTGGGGGAAGGAAAGAATGAAGGAGGGAGGGAGGGGAGAGAAACAGAGAAAGAGAGAGAAAAGGAAAGAGAGAAAGAGGAGAGAGAGAGAGAGAGAGAGGAGAGAGAGAGAGAGAGAGAGAGAGAGAGAGAGAGAGAAGAGAGAGAGAGAGAGAGAGAGAGAGAGAGAGAGAGAGAGGAGAAAGAGAGGGGGGGGGGAGGAGGGAGAAATGGAGAGAGAGGGGGGGAGGAGGGGGGAGAAAATGGAAGGAGGAGGGAGAGAATGGGGGAAGGAAAGAATGAAGGAGGAGGGAGGGGAGAGAAACAGAGAAGAGAGAGAGAAAGAGAAAAAGAGAAGGAGAGAGAGAGAGAGAAGAGAGAAGAGAGAGAGAGAGAGAGAGAGAGAGAGAGAGAGAGAGAGAGAGAGAGAGAGAGAGAGAGAGAGAGAGAGAGAGAGAGAGAGAGAGAGAGAGGAGAGAGAGAGAGAGAGAGGGAGAGAGGGAGAGAGGGAAGAGAGCACGGAGAGAGGGAGAGAGGGAGAGAGCGCACGGTTGTGCGTGCACGTACATGCACCTAGTCATAAATATATCAATAATAACCACAAGCTTATTCACAAAGAAAAAAAATATATATACTTACCTTAAACCATAGAAAAATCCCTCCCTTGGGCACCGTCCATTCACACAACCCTGAAACACCAATAACCTATCACTAAACAACCATTACCTGCAAGAAAACCCTCTCCCCGGTCTCGAAAAAAAACAACAACAACAAAAAACAACATATCATCCCATTGACACACCAAAAAACCCTGGACTCTGATGAAACGCAAAATGATTCGACATCTGACCTGCAAGATGCTTCTCCGCGGCCTGCAACATGGTGTCTCTCTGAGCTCGGTAGAATTCCCTCAACTTGGCTATGTGCTTGTTGAACCCTTCGTCGCCCCACTTCCGGAGCAGTTCGCTCACCATTACCTAAGGAGGTTCTCGTCATGAGGGTTTTAAATGGTCTGTTGTGGTGGGGTTCGAATTGGGAAGAAAATTGTATCTTATGGGTTATATGATTTTGTGAAATGAATAGATATTAATAAAGAAGTGGGATTTTATGGGTTCTAATATCTTGTGAAATACCAAATGATAAAAATAAATAAATAATAATCAAGAAATTATATCTTATTGGTTCTAATGCTTGTGAAACAACAAAATATATATAATAATTAAGAAATGATATCTTATGGCTTCTAATATCTTGTAAAATACATAAATAATAATGATGATACAGAATAATAAAGAAATGATATGCGTTCTAATATCTTGTAAAATGAACGAATGCTGATAACAATAAACAATAATAATAATAATAAAAATATCTTATGGCTTCTACTATCTTGCGAAACGAATAAACACTAAAAATCATCAATAGATCATCATCAATCTTAAAAGAACTCAAAATTTAAAAAAATCAACAAATTCATCACGATATAAGCTGATAAACTAAACTAAAGTCAGCATCAAATGACGAAATTGCTTCACTTGCCGTTAAAGTGTTCATTGGGTTTTAATCATCCCAAAATTATTTTACACTTACAAAATGTGAAATATTCTAAATCTAATTGACACTTTGATGTTGGGACGCCTAAGTATGGCATGTATTTCGCTATGCTGTTGGCACTCATCCAGTAACATAAATAATAATAATAATAATAATAATAATAATAGTAATAGTAATAATAATAATAATAATAATAATAATAATATAATAATAATAATAATAATAATAATAATAATAATAATAATAATATAACAATAATAATAATAACAATAATAATGATAATAACAATAATAATAACAACAACAACAACAATAATAATAAAAATAATAATAGAAGACAATAATATGATGATAAAAAATAATAATAATAATATAATACCAATAACAATAATAATTATAATATCAATAATACCAAAATAACAATAATAATAATAATAATAATAATAATATATAATAATAATAATAATAATAATAACAATAATAATATAATAACAAAAAAACAGCATATAATAATTTGAATGGGTGACAAAAATGACAATAATGATGATGATGATGATGATGATGATGATGATGATGATGATGATGATGATGGATGATGATGATGATGATGATGGATGATGATGATGATGATGATGATGATGATGATGATGATGATGATGATGATGATGATGACGGCAATAATATATCAATAATAATAACGGTAATAATATTAATAATAATAACAATAACAATAATACCAGTAATGATGAAATAATAATAATAATAATAATAATAATAATAATAATAATAATAATATAATAATAATAACAACAATAAGCATCATCATCATCACCATCACCATCACATCACCATAATAACAATAACAATAATAATAACATCTGCAACCACGCCATCCACACCTTCACGCCATACCTGCGTGATCCCGGGCGGGCACAGGACACTCGCCTGCATATGCCACGTCATCCTCTCGAGCAGCGGCGTCGGCCCCGTCACGTAGCCCACCCTGAGGCCGGCGCTGAAGATCTTGGAGAAGGAGTCGAACCTCAGGACTCTCCCGTCCGTGTCCAGCCGCAGGAAACTCGGGGGCAGTGGCTGGGGGGGGGGCGGTAGGACGTTGGTGGGTTAGGGTGAGTGGATTCATCATCGTTGAGGGTCTATTAAAGGCGCTGTCACACTAGCCCCCTTTCCGTCATTTTTTTTTTGACAATTTTATTTAACATATATACAAACATTCTCGAATATAGCTCTTGATCTGACTTTGCTTGGCTGAAAAAGTTGACGGAAAGGTTTTCAGACGGAAACGATCAATATCGTCTGACTGGAGAATCGGCAATTCGCTCAAAAATGGACAAAATTTCAGAAAATTTTAAACAAAAATGACGGAAAAAGTGCTAGTGTGACAGCACCTTAACTGAACTTAAATCAAGGTGTTGGTGGGTTAGGGTGGGTGAACTTATCATCGTGAGGGTCTATTAAACAACTTAAATCAAGGTGTTGGTGGGTTGGCTGGGTGAACTTATCATCGTGAGGGTCTATTAAACAACTTAAATCAAGGTGTTGGTGTGGTTGGCTGGGTGAACTTATCATCGTGAGGGTCTTTTAAATGAACTTAAATCAAGGTGTTGTTGGTGGGTTTGGCTGAGTGAACTTATCCTCGTGAGGGTCTATAAATTGAACTTAATTCAAGGTGTTGGTGGGTTAGGCTGAGTGAAATTATTAGCATGAGGGTCAATTTGTAGGTTGGAATGAACTTATTAACATAAGGGTCTATTAACTGAACGAACTTAAATCAAAGTGTTGGTGGGTTAGGCTAAAAAAAATATTATCATAAACGTCTATTAACTGAACAAACAAATAAATTTGTTGGTATGTCAGGCTGGACAAACTCTTAACCAAGGTCTAATATTTTTTACTGACCTTGCTCTCAACAAGGTTTTGATTGATTAGGCTGAGTGAACTTAATTTCAGGGTGTGTGTTGGTAAGTTAGGATGAATAAACTGGTGTTGGGAGGTTTGTTGACTGAATTGCATCTATCTGTATTTCTATCGATTTTGATTTATCTGTCTATCTTTATCTATCTATCTGTCTGTCTTAATCTGTCTATCTGCCTGTCTATCTACCCATCTATCTATCAAACTATCTATCTATGTCTTAACCTATCTGTCTATCTCTCTATCTATCTATTTATTTAACCACATAACTATCTATCTATCTTTTGATCATGGTGCTGGTAGGTTGAACTGAATAAACCCTCATAATGGTTATGGTAGGACTGAATAAACTTTTATCGAGGTGTTGCTACATATATAAACAAGCTTATTATCAAGATAGCAAATTAACTGAACAAACTCCATTCGAGTTGCTGGTAGATTAGGCTGAACAATCTTATCCTCAAGGTGTTGGTCGATTGAACACACATTTATCACACGCAGAAAGTTCCCTGATAATAATTACACGTTACAAGACATTTACAATATATCTTACTTCCTGGTCGTCATACTGCAAGAAGTAGTAAGGGTCGTCCTCGAGGATAATGAGGTCGTACTCGGAGGCGATGCTATAGATCTCCCTCCGCCGCGCCTCGTCCATGGTGGTCCCCGTGGGGTTGCATGCGTTAGGCACCAAATACATGACCTGTGTTATCAAATTCCAGTGTTTAGGAAGGTGTGTTGATGGAACAGCTGGGAAAATCGTGGCTTTTTACCCCCTCTTTGAAATGAAGGGTCGATTCTATTCCTGGAAAAACTATCTATTGCCTACTTGACATAAAAGGTCCATTATCTACTTGAAATAAAGGTCAATTTCATTCCAGGGAAAAACTATCTATTACCTACCATTATCTACTTGAAATAAAGGGTCTGTTCTATTCCTAGGGAAAAAACTGCAAGAAAATAGGTTGACTTTATGGCTAAGAAATCATAACTACTCTGCTCTCTCTCTCTGAAATAAAAGGTCACAAAAGGTCGCATGCACTGACCTTGGGCACAGGTCCTCCATCCTGCGCTGCCCTTTCGAGTCCTTTCCTCAGCGACAACGGACACATTCCCCTCTCGTCAGCGGACACGACCACGAACTTCGGCGTCAGTGGGGCGAGCTAGGTGATATAAACCGAATTTCTGTGACCTTTGTTGTGGTTATTTCCTGTTATAATGTGGTTGTTTAGATGATGATGGCGAGGATGGGATAAAACGAGAGGGAAGATAGGGTGATGTGATAGGGTAGATAACATACTGATACATTGGTCATATCGCACACTTACACACTTACACACTTACACACACACACACACACACACACACACACACACACACACACACACACACACACACACACCACACACACACACCACACCACCACACACACACACACACACACACACACACACACCACACAACACACACACACACACACACACACACACACACACACACACACACACACACACACACACACAAACACACACACACACACGCACACACACATGGGGGAGGGATAGAAGGGGAAGGAAGAGAGAAAAAGGGGACGGAAGGAGAGATAGATGGGAAGGAGGGAAGAATGGGAGGGAGGAAGGGAGGGACAGGAGGGAAGAATGGGAGAAAGGGAGGGATAGAAGGGAAGGAAGGGAGAAGAAGGGGACACCGGAGGGAATAACGAGAACACAGGACCACCTACAATGCACAGAACATCCGAATAGCAAGGCTCCTGCCACCACGCAGTCCTCGGGGTCCAAGAGCATCTCCAGCGCCTTCGCCAGCCCGTCCTGACAGCCGACGGTCACCAGGAGGTCGCTCTCACCCCAGCGCGGAGGACTGTGGTTTCCGGAGGGTCATGTCCTTCAGCTGCTGGACCAGGGGGATGTACCTGACGAAGGGGCAGAAGGAGGAGAGGTAATGAAGTGTTGTTTATATGTGGAATGGTGTAAAATATTTAATATGATATAATAATTTAATATTGTAAAGTGGGGGGGAGACTGTTGTTTATATGTAGAATGGAATGGTGTAAAACATTTAATATGATTTAATAAATTTCGTAATGTAGAGTGGGTAGAGATCTGAAATGCAGTACCTTGTTATTTATCATTGTTTTTTCGATTTTTTTTGTGTGATAAAACAAAAAATAAACATAAACAATCACTAAAAACAACGACTTCAACAACAACAAACACACAACCACAACAACAAACACAACTACAAACCCCGCACCACCCCACCCACCCTCACCCCACCACCACCACCTCGGCCTCTCGGAAATCTCACCCGGCGTCGGTCCGTACTGCAGCCCGGTCGCCATGAGGTCCCCGCCGAGTTCGAGGACAGAGCCGTCGCTGAGCCTGACGGTGGCCTCGCGAAAGGGGAACAGCTGGGGTTGGGCATTCCCGAAGCCAGCCACACCAGCGAGGGAGAGGGCTCGGCCAGGTACTTCCCTGTGGAGAGTGAGGGTGGGTTGAACTGGGTGGGGTGGAGGGTGGGGAGAAGAAGGGAAGGAGGAGGAGGAGAGGGAAGAAGGAGGGGGGAGGGAGGGATAAAGGGGTAAGAAGGGGGGAGAGAAGGGAAGAAGGAGAGGGAGGGAGATATAGAAGGGGAGGGAGGAAGGATAGAAGAGGAGGAGAGGGAAGAAAGGAGGGAAGGGAAGAAGGAGAGGAGGAAGAAATGAAGGGTAGTGGAGGGAGAGAGGCATAAAGGAGAGGGAAGGAGGGAGGAGAGGATAGAAGGGGAGGATAGGGAAGAAAGGAGGGAGGGAGGGATAGAAGGGGAGGGAAGGGAAGAAGGAGAGGGAGGGAGGAATGAAAGGGAGTGGAGGGAAAGAGGAAGGGATAATGGGAAGGAGGAAGGGCAGAAGGGGAGGGGAGGGAAGAAAGGAAGGAAGGGAGGGAGGGATAGAAGGGAGGAGAGGGAAGGAAGGAGGGAGGGGGGATGACGGGGAAGGAGGGAAGGATAGAAGGGGAGGGGAGGCGGGGGGAGGGACGAATGAGAGAGAGGGAGGGGGAATGAAGGGGAATAAGGGCAGAAGGAAGCATGTTGAAACCATTTGACTCTGGACTGTGAGCAAGAGTGCGAATTTAATTGTTTTTCTAGGTTGATAATGATTGTCAAAAGGTTTCTGTAAACATGTGCATATTCATACAAACATGATCATTAATTATATCTTTATATTTACCTCTATCCATCTACTGGCCTATCTACATATTTAGATATCTATTTATACACGTGTATTTTGTGTGCATACATAGAGATACAGATCTATATAGTATGTTTACAGTGCGCATTAGAGTTGGACTTACATCTAAAATACCTAAATACTCACGCATTTCGCTGATTCCAGATGGCTTTCGATTTGAAGACATCTTTGATATGAACTTCGAATAATCCATCCTGCAAATTAAATAACACCAAATTAAATAAACAAGATACTGGAAGATTGCACCAA